AAGACTCAAAATATTCTTTGATGTTGGAGGAGTACGATCAAAACGATTTTGAAATTGACGAGCAACTTCAGCTGCATTTTGGTGAATGACGTACCATTTCACAATTTCAGTTTTTTTACGTAATGACAAACGAAAACTTTTACTCATGGTGAAGAAAATGTGAAAAAAGTTAGAGTTATACAAACAACAGAAAATGTAAAGAGAAACAAAAAATAAACCAGTCGATAAAAGAAATAATCATTAGTATTGTTGTCTTCTAGATGCCATTCCTCACACATATAAGTACTATAAGAGAACAAACAATAATATTCGCTTTCTTTTTTTTTACATACACTATATTTTTGTATGCTCTTGGATGAATTACTACATCGACATATCGTTCATATGCTCAATCTTTTATTTATCACACCTAGTATATGTGGTATAAACATCAAGCGTAAGCAACAATCTATAAGATAGAAATCGAAAAAAAAAGACTATTTTTCCTTACTTTTGGGCCACCCGGTATATACAAAACCTTGGATATTTCTTATTTTGATATAGTTGGATAGAGTATCACTTACTCTATCGAACTATATAGTTTTTATTTGGTTTATTTTGCATCTTCTCCAAAAATTTGATAAATTCAGAGACGCGCTAACACGAAACTTTTGCATGTTCATATTTCAGCAACAGTAAGCTCAAAAATAAAGAAAATTGCTTTAAATAGAAGAGATTCATCATACGTCCGTGTGCAAAAAAGTATTAATCAAAACAGATTCGAAATTAAGGAGAAAAGTGACCTTTTCTGTTAAAATTTGGTATACTTTTGTACTTATGAAAAATCAAGTTTATAACACTTTTCACAAAAATTCATCCGTAAGACTGACTGTAAATATAATCAAAACTATATAAATCAATAGAGGGATCAACGCTCTATTTTAGCCATATATCAAAGAAAAAAAATTTAGCGCTTAAACAACCAAAATTTGTTTGAAGAAAAGTCAAAGTTCACATATGAAAAAAATTCAGGAATACATTTCTCCAAAAAGTTGTCCAAGTTGATACTAAAGATAAAACATAAGTCCAATACAAAATACATAGTTCGGGAGAGGAAACTACAGTCTATTATTCTACATAAAAATAAAAAGGTTCAGTACCCCAGGAAATAGTAAAAAAAAGAAACCTACTTGAGAAATGGTCTAAAAATTGCTGAATGCAAAAATCGTTGATGTCGGTTTTCTAAATGTATCAAATTTTTGAACAAGATTCAAAGTAAACAAAATGAAAAATGTACAGTTTGATAGAGTAATCGATGCTCTATCCAACTGTTTTAAAATGAGAAACTTTTGAGGTTTTGTATAAGTACAGCAAACTGAACAAAACTGCAAAAAATAACGTGATCACGTTGTATATTGAAGAGCATTGCTGTTTCAAAGAATTAAAATTATATAAAGTGATTTCTTTTTTAAATATTTTTTTCACAGCTGTTCGTAATTTAAAGATAAACATGAGTCCTGCAAGAAAAAATATATTATCTTACATGGGTATTCGAGTTCGATGTATAGATAGAAGAAAATATAGATTGTAAATGAATATATTAAAAAGCACTCAAAGAAGAATTCTAAAATATTACTTTTCTGAAATAAAAACCGTTACAAATACTTGTTATTTTTACCTAGTCTATTGAGCACGTTAATAAATTTAATTCATTATTATTTCAACTTAATTAAATCTGCTCGATAAATTAAGAAGTTGAAAGTTATAATTCAAGTTATAACCATTTTAATTTTTTGCTGTTTTTCTCAATTATCAACTTTTTGAAAAATATTTTTACTCCTGCACTCATGTAAATACACTCACATGCACACATCTCTAATAAATTCATTCGCCCACAGTTCGTTTATTCATTTACATCGCGCACTCAACATCCATTCCTCATATCTACACACACTCGAAAACTACGGAGAGAGATTGTTTACTTTGTCCTATGGCAACATCTAAACATTTTCAATGTGACAGATTTCTCATGGTCGGCAGCATCGAACACGAGGGATTAGTGAGTACTTGCTTGTCGTTAGGCAAATGTTTCACCAATGCGTGGGTGTAAAAGAAAAACATCGATAAGAATTGTATATAAACATTAACTTTTTATTAAACATGTTTGTCATAGGCGATAGTTATTTATACAGTCTCTGTGTTAGTTTCTATTTATTTCGTTGCTCTTTTCACTTGGTGGTAAGTCGAGACTATTGTAACGAGTAGGGATTGACGTATCGTTTTTGTTGAACAAAGGTAGTAGCCTGTCTGTCTACTTATAGAGCAAAGTCAACAAACTGAATTTTGTACTTTCCATGTAAAAAAAAAGATGGTAAAAATGTGATTTTAATTGGATTTTTAATCATAAAAAATCTATCAAAAAATCCTTCGAAATCGATTTTTGTGATTGGAAATTGGGTTCAAGTCATGCCATTTTAATTGATTAAAAATCAGAAAAATCAATTATATTCAAATAAATCGATTAAAATCAGGTTTTTCTCATATTTTTTTTACATGAGTACCTTTGAATCAATTTTAATTTATTCTTAGTTGTTCTTCGATTTTAATCATATATATCGAAGATAAGCGCTTTTCTGAAGACTCGAATGCGAAACCCGAATTTTTTATAATTTTTTTTTTGACTCCTCGTGTTTAATAACCATGAAGTTGTCACTCAGCTAAAGTCCTACAAATGAAATAAACTTGGAACTGCTATATAAATTGTTTCATAACTGAGATGGTGCAATTATACTAGTAATCGATTAAACAAAAGGATAATTGATTAAAATCGATTTTTTGTGAAACGAACATATATTTTTGAAGAAAATGATGAGTGTAAGTTTTAAGATCACGTTTTCGTGGCTCCCCTCTTCCTACCGCATTACAGATCTTAACAATCGAGAATAATAGGCACCAGACATTCTATAGTTTATTGCAAAATTGATCAAATTATAATTTTGAAAGATAATCAACATCATTGTTTGTGAGTTGATTAATATATATATAATAGTGTATAAGATCTGCTGTAGATATAATGGATATGTAAAATAGACATATTTGCCAATTAATTCATTGATTATAATAATAAGAATGTTAAATTAAGAAAAACAGCGAGCGAATAGCAACAATGTAAACAAAAAATAGGGCGCCCGTAGAAAAAATAAAAAAAAACTTCTGTTCGAAATGCAGAAATTAAAAGAACTCTTGTTCTGATGTATGATTATTCTGCAAAACAACTATAGTCTACAAGAGATTTTTCACTTTATGTATTTGATAATAGTTTAATGAGGCTAGAGAACATATATGACTTCCACATTTCAGCTTCAAAGAGGCTGCACTAACAGACTTCTTTTTACAGAAACCATAGTAATCGATTCTTTCGATTTCTCTAAACAAAAACCAATTTTAATCGATTTTTACGGAGTAAAATCAATTAAAATCAAATCTTACATCGAATTTAATCGAAACTTGGTATTTTTAATTGATTTCAATCAAATTCTTGGTGTATTTTTTACTTGAGTTTCTTGTGGCGTCATTATGCCCTAAAACGGTCAACATTCACTTCTACGATATTCTAATGTTTGCTTAGCGTTTTGAAATTCGTTTACTGCATGAGCACGTTTTAACATGAGGGTTTTATCGAGATGACAATGCGTTTTAAACTTTTTTTTCATTGTTTTTTCGTATTTCTACGTTTTAAATTGTACCATTAAATTTATCAGTGATATTTTTGCCATTTTCTATCGATTTTCACTCAGTTTTATCTAAATGTGTTTAATTAAGTAGAAAAGACATCATTTCTGACTGTACAACTTGAATATCAAACACATTTACAGGCGTTTCGGTGTTGAAGACGTTTTAACGCTATTATCATGTAAGCAGTAGACTCACGTTTTGGGAACTTTTTGAAAAAAACATCGCATTATGACTGTCCTCACATTCCAGCGATATTATGCGAAATGTGTATTTAAGGAAAAAAATATATTTTTTGTTGGTTTTTGACGAAAACATCTCTAGTGGAATATGAATGTTTCGAATATGATGATAACAACAAACAAATAAGGTTTAATGAAATAGAGTGAAATTATTTCTATCTATCGACGTCTGATTTAAGACTCAAGTCAAACCAAGATTTACATAAGCCATTCTAAGATCCAAGCTTGAACGAATCCAAACATTGTTTGAATGAAGGCTTTAGATGAAAAAGTTAGTTTTTGTTCTAAGACTGATATTGCGTTTAGGTCTCTTTTGTTTATAACTTATGAAAAGCTGATAGGCCAGTGAAAAATCAGTTCTTCTGGTATTTCCAAGAGCGGTTACGGTATTCATTTAAATTTTTTTATAAAAGTTCAGTATCGCCTATGCAAAAGTGATTGAACAGTTGGTGGTCATCCCTTGTGAGCAGTTAAGCTGTTGGGCACGTACTGCCAAAATACTGTGTTCAGGCCTTGATGCCATCAGACATGGAATGATCTTAGACAAGTCACTAACGATTGCTTCTCTTGAAACATTCATCCGATAGCATACTAACTACGTTGTGACATATACCAACCCTTGTAACTAGTATGCGGTTAATCAATATGTAGAGAAAACTCAAGTGATTCAGCGGAATAACTGTGAGTCAGGCTAGTTCCCTATCCAGAGCTGCAGCTAGCGATAGTTGTAGGAAAAATATCGCACTTTCAAAAATTGTCTCTGATCAATAACCTATACCGCAAGGTAGCTGATAAGTAGGAGTACTCTTTTTCTTCTGGTATTTATTTCATTTATGAGAAATAATTTGATTTTTTTGAGAAAACTTTAGTAGTGACTCGATTAAGTTCTTTACATGTCGCAAAACCATTTTGAGTTCATTAAAATGTAGAAAACTCAATATTGAAATCTAATTATATGCATCCGGAAACTTAGACAATGTTTCTAATTGACTTTCTTTTTTGATTCCTTACAGAAATAGTCAAAAACGGTCTCCTTGTCGTCGTAAGATGCTGCCGGATAAACGAATAATTGCGATAGCAGCAGCGATTATACTAGCTGTGGCTTGGATATTTTATGTTGCAGGCAACGCTGCTCCGTCATGGTAAGTGAAGCGATTCGTACTTAGTATGATTGGTATGTCAAATAAGAGAGAATGAACTTTAGAACATAGAATCTTTCTTACGAAACAAATGTTCAATTGGCCTTTCTGCGATTGGTTTTTTCCATTACCCTCTGTTCTTTAATTAGTTATGTCTCGAACTGAAAATGTTAGTATGAGTGTGGATTCAGATGTAAATTGATGATATAGGTGAGGAAGTAACGATTTCACCACTCATATCTTTGCGTTGACTAAAACTGTTCTATCCATTCGCCCATTTTTGAGGTTATACGAACTACGCTGTGTACGTCTGCAGACTCTTTTGCACAATTCTAGGGGTCAACAAGATTCTGGTATTTACTCCGTCACAATCGGCCTGTGGAGATATTGTTTTTCTTCAGTCTGTACTGATATCTCAGATTCATGCAGCTCAAATAGCATTTTGTGTTCGGGTTCGAAAGTACGCGCTGCAAGGGCATTCATGACGATGGCTTGTCTATTTTCTGCTTTTGCTGTCATCGTTCTGGTATACATGGCCATTCGAAAACAATGCGAGGCTCCATGGACCTACGTTTCGATCGCTATCGCTTGGGCAACCGCTTTTTGTGGTCTTGTCGGAATGGCAGTCGGTATTGATTATGCCACGAAGGACATAGGTTATCCACTTGGCCCAGCTGGCGCTGTTGCGATTGTGGGTTTTATTATAAACGTTATAGGTGCTGTAGTTACTACCTTATTAAACAGAGACTGAATTTACAATGCAAGCATTATTTTATTGACTACTTAAAAACATTTGTGTTCTTTTTGTTTTTTTTTTAATTATATGTTTGAAAACTAACGAATACTAGAAATAAAATATTCTCGCCTCCATTTACTATTCAAATCTTCCTTTATGCTGATTTTTGCTGCAATGAGCCAAATCAACGAGTTTCATTCTTTTGATATGGGGGTCAATTGACAAGCAGATAAATCCATCTCTTGACGAAAAACACATGTTCAATATGATAGTCTCAACTCTTACTTGCCAGCAATCGAATAAATCGTAAAAAAAACAATAACCATAGAATGATCAATAAGTTGTGAGCTTTGATTATAATAATTAAATACATGCAGAGTTGATTTCGCCGACACATCTCACCTTATTTATTGGGTGGATGTAGGTGCGGGTGTACGTAGGGCTAGGGATAGGAGTGTAAAGAAGGTTTTATATCACACACACACCCACACCCTATTCATAGCAGCGATATTGACGGTAATTGGTGCAATTTTTGTTATCGAATGGCTTTAAAACATCTTAGGAAAATCTTGAATTTCTCGTTCAAGTAAAATTGAAACGAATTTTTCAATAGTTACAGTTAATAATAACAATACACTGATGATTTTAATTGAATAAAATAATTCAATACTCGTTATCATATAAAATATCCACGGACCTTTGTATCTAGGATGTAAATGCCAAATAGAAGCATTATATTATGAAAAATTTCCAGATCATGATTTTATCTTCGTTTTCTTTCATCTATTAATCTATTTTATTTGTATAACGATGAATTTGAATATAGTATATTGAAATATAAATACCGACAAGTTGTTTAACAGTATAGCATAACCAGTGTGTAGCAAACTTAATTTTGGTATTCGAAAGTAAATGATTTCTATCGTAAATGTTCATATTTGAATACCTATAACTAAAAATCATTCAATAAACATTAGAATTAGATGTATTTTTAATGAAGTTAACTATCGATAATTTAGTAGATGACACAGCAAAAATATAATCATCATATTGATTGGAATAGTTATGAATATAGAACAGATAGAACTGACATATACAAAGTATTCAGACCATAATATATTACTTGTATCCCAGGTAAATAATAACAAATAAATATAATTATTACATTCAAAAGTAGAATATAACATTGATGAAATAGATGTGCCACTGTATGTGATTGTTTTGTCAATGAAACTAATGTTAATATAATAGAAGAAATAACCACAACGATTAATGCTGAAATCATTGAGAGTTTGAGTGTAAATGTTTGTTTTTTCTTCATCTATACTCATAGTCACACCCATCACGCTTTGAATCGAATGATGGTACATGTCTTGTTAAGCTGAGATCGAAAAGAAATTTGCATAATATACAAAAACAAAGAAAAGAATGATGATATTTCTTTTGTCGAGTAATATCAATGTAACTAAAGTTATAATCGGATCAGAATGTATCTGTAGATAATAATTACATTAAGCTATTGACCTATTCGTTGAAATCTTATTTGTTTGAAATCAATACGCTTGATATTCTTTAGATATTAGTTTTCATCCTCCTATAAGTATCAGCATACTTGAATACTAGGCCAATGTAAGCCATGGGATGAGATGGAATTTAGTGAAATTAAAAATGTCCAAAGTAAAAATGCTTAAATGAAGGCGAGACAAGAGAACAATGTTTTTCTTTGACATTCTTATATTTTGCTATTTTACTTTCGATGTTATTCATAGGAGTCAGGCATACACCTACCTCATCATTATCTAATAAACATTCAATAATTAGAATTGCTTCATTTTGTTCAGATAATAAATCAAAAATTTTACTTAATAAACGATTGTATTGTTTTCATGTAAAATACATTCAAATGCATATACATCAACTTGAGTTAGAGCCTCCAAGAAAAAAAATCACCAGCACAAAAACGAATTCGGTTACGGAGAGTCTCTGGAAATTTCCAGTGGAATCGCGTATATATTTTTCTATTTGAGGACGATCAAAAATGATCGCTTGTACTACATTAACAAGTCGTTATTGTTATATTGGCATGATTGCATAAAAGGTGAAATCCACTCCAATCATAACAAGTTGTCGAAAGATTAGCGTTATATATAGTTTCATCCACAACTATTCTTGAAAATGATCACCATTGACTTAAAAATGAACCGAAATTATCGAGTTCAGTTTCTGTTCGACACGAGTTTCAAAACTCGGTTCGAATCGTTTTCGAACTTTGTTACATACTGATAAAGTATTTTACACTTAATTTTATATTATAGATCTTATCAATATGTAAAGTATCAATAGATGATGAAAGCATGATAGTCTGATAAGAGGCTTTATGCTAAGAAGAAAATATACTTTTGTATTTTAAATTTAAAGTACTTAAGGTACTATAAAGTAGCTAACAGTATATGGTAACATCGATCTGATCTTCGACAAAAAAAACAAAATATTGACGATTATTTTGAAAATTTTTCTAGTATCATTTTTATATTGATGTTAATAATAAAAACCTAGTGTTTTTTTTTTCCTATTCATCATTCCGTTACATGCTGTGATGGAAGAAAAAGAACGAAAGTAATTTTCTCATTATGACGACAGAAAAAAAGCCAAATTTCAACATCAATTGCCATATGCTGAGATGAATGAATCAAGTAAAAAAAAAATGATGACGAAAAGGGTTTTTCTCTGTTCGTCCTATAAAAACACAAACACAATACAAATTTATTTATTTATTTATTCTATGGCAACTCAAAAAAGAAAGACATTTTTAGAATCCTTACCCGATGAGCTGTTACTCGAGCTATTCAAAGATGTCCATATCACGGATCTGTTTCGTGTCTTTGATGGTCTCAATTCTCGTCTCAAATGACTACTCTTCAATCTTATCATATAGATTTTCGATCGATCTCTAAAACTAATTTTGATTTCTTGTGTAAAAATTATCTATTATTGATTGCTAAACAAATTAATACATTTTGCTTTTATGATAATGATGAAACTCCTAATTTATTCGATCATTTTCTATCCTATGGTTCTAATTTATATTTACTTTCATTCTTTCATATTGCTCATATAAAACGAATCAATACTAATTTTACAAATTCTTTCTATTCAATGTCAATTACTCGTTTCAAATTAAACAAATGTTATTTTGCAGTAATGAATGATTTAGTTTCCTTGATAAATCATATTTGACGTTTACCTAAACTTCAACATTGTGAAATAGATCTTGTCGATATTTATGATAGAGCATTTATTGAATTAGTAATAATTTCATCATCGATCGAATTTGTTTTAGCAAAATCGATTTATTTTCAGTCAAATGATCTATCGAAATTATTCAAACATACACCTAAACTTTGACATCTACATGCAACTTTTTTGCGAAATTAATGTTCGATCATTAACAAATATTGCTTTATCAAAAACAAAATTGAATATTTTTCTTCATTCTTCAGCATTTGGAATGATTGAATTGTTGAAAAAAAACACCGAATTTCCCTAGTGAATGTACTCATCCAGAGAGTACGACTTGCCAGCATGAGTACTCAAATTACTCGAGCAAGTACTCTCAAAAATTCATGAGTATGTAAAATGACCGAGTACTCACATACGTACTCATACGAATCTTTCATTACACATCTACTTATAGGCAAGACCCTGAGTACTCATTGTAGTACTCGTCGTCTTTTTTTCTGAAAAGACTCAATATACAGGATGGAATGTGTTAGGACGAAAAAGATGTCGTGCGCTGACTTTCTATGGACGATAAGTTCACAATTTTAACAAGATAATTTCCTTCTGTGACTGTGGCGTTGCAGAGAAGCGGACTTTTCCAGAGTCTACGAAGCTTCTCAAAGGGCAACAAACCGGGACTTTAAATGGTCTAGTTGCTACTAACTATAAGAAATGAACGGTCATAGTACTCGACTAGAATACACTGCCATAAAAGTAAGGATGTGTAGTACTTATATACTCGAAACTCATCGTGAGTACGACCGACGAGTACTCAAAAGTCCCGGGTACTCATGAGTACTCGTGGCATTTTCTAGCGTGAGTACTTTCACTAGGGTTACGTTATTTAACTGTTGAATCTTGGAATTTTTACTTTAATGGATATCAATGGAAAGAAACTATTGAGAATCATTTATCGAAAATCAAAATATTTCAATTTAATATGGCATGTTATTTGCCGAATAATGGAAACATAGTCCAACAAGTTGAAGAAATATTTAACACATATCGAACACCATTTTGACTTAATGAACATCATTGGTATGTTCAATGTGATTGTAATCAAAATAATCGAGATGAAAATATTCATTTATATACAATATCATATTGTTCTAATAGATTAACTCATCTAGAACCTGATACTTGGCACAAATCAACTTGTTCGAACGATCATCTCTATTTATCCTATGATTATGTACATGAACTTGTACTTATGTCTAGCTTCTCACCATCGATATATTTTAATAATATTCATTCTCTAATTATATGTTTGACTAACGATCGTAATATTTGGTCCTCTTTTCCGACACTCCATCATCTAATTTCATTGGCTATAGAACTAAAGTATTCTAGTCCACAAAATTATACTATTGAATTTCAAGTACGAATCTTACTGGATCGAATGCCTCGACTTTATTCGTTAAGAATCAATAAACGTTTTGTTTTACATTTGTTACAATCAAAAATTACTAGTAGATCAATTGGTCGCCTTGATTTAATGCATAGTTCGGATTGGGGATATCTTGAGAATATAGAACTTTCTTTATTGGCCAATTCGCCATTAGGACGTCAATGTGAAGTTCTTTTAATAAAAGTCTCAGTTCGAGAAAATATTTTTGATCTTATCAATACAATGCCAAATCTTCGAGCATTAACATGTTCGATTATTTCACTTCAACAAGTGAAGTCAAATGATGATGAAGCATCATCATCGAATATGATCAAGTATGATCTTCTCTGGTTACAAAATTATTTGTCATTTACGTCTTCTATTCATCTGAAACCTCTACGTAAAACAAATATTCAATTATGGATTCAGTAATATGCAGATCACTAAAATCCCTATTGAATGACTAGTTTTATTCAAAAGATATGAGAGAGATATTCAATTATTTTCATTTTTAATATATGAAAATCTGTTTATTCGTTTTCTTTATGTCATAATTCAAACGACAATAATATGTCAGAAATCTATTTTTAGACAAGAATGTTTGAAAGTATTGTACAAGTTCGAAATATACTTTCTTTTTATCAGTAAATAAACTAATAAACGAAAATAGTTATGTTTATTCAGATCAAATAGATTCTCTAAGACGAATAAATCGATTAAGAAAGAATTTGATTTGAAAAAACAAAAGCAAGAATCAATAGTTAATTGAGACATTGAAGAAAATATTAGTTTTTTTTCTAACATAGAAAATTGTTGTTTTTTTAAGAAGATTATTGTAAACTATAATCTCATACACGTACCATTGGTTGGCACGTAGTTTATAGTGAATTTTTAATACGTGATGAAGTTAATATCATATAAATGTCATCATGGTTATCTAATTTAACAAGTATTTATTATGAATAATATTTATTCGAAGATAAATAAAATATTTTCACCATGATGAATGCAATTATAGTATATCATCATTATTCACATATATAAAACATAATATTTAAAACAAACATTCAAAAAACAACCTATCACTTCAAAGCAACTAATCAAAATACGAACAAATCTTAAGAAATCAATATTTCTGGCAACTTAAAAGATAAATAAAAAGGAAGAAAAGAAAAACTATAACACTCATGAGCGTGTGTTGTACATCTCCAATTTTGTTGATAATTCTTTCTAGGGAGAAACTTCGAAAGAAAATATCGTAGCTAGAAGCACAAATTAAAACGTTTCGATAATTGTAGACTGTTTTGAATCAGTGTGATGCAAGGAATCGTATTGGATGAGTGTATTACCATGATTTTCTTCCCTTCTAGAGTTGTTACAAATCAAACCAAATGAAATGAAAATTTTAGTACAAATAGAACTTGCATATATATATATATAGATGTAGTACAAGTTTCAGCTGTTTGTCATTTTAATTTATTGAGATACGACAATCCAAAGATGAAAAATGGGTACGTGCATTATCTGTGGATAAACTGTAATTAAATGATTTATCTTTTTTTATTTAAGGTCTTCCCTTAAAAAAGTCACTTTTCGTCGAAATGATCAAAATTGAGATAAATTCATGGAAAAATAGCTCGTCGTCATCTGCTCTTTCATAAATGATAAAAATTTTTACTCCGTACCTCTTTTTTTCCAAAAATTTTGGAAGATTTTCGCCACTTCCTATTCGAAAAATAAGGCGTTTTTACAAAAAATCGAAAATCATTTTTCCTTTTTCTCAGAACGTTGGTTCAACGACGTAGCACCAGCAGAACTCTATCATAGTTAAAGTTAAAGTCAAATATTTGTTTTTTTGTTTAAAAGCTTATGTCTATGGCTAGCTCCTCTCTTGGTCTTTTTTGAGTCATTAAACTTGTCATCCCTTCTCTTTGCTTAAAAAGTAAGAGTTTAAAAAAAAAAGAGCCACGAGAGGGACTAGCCGTAGACACAAGGTTTCAAACAAAAAAAAATTACATGTATAAAATAAAGACTCACAGAGAAATCTTGGAGATACGATAGAGCTATTTTTTGACATTTGTTTGGTGAATATCTCTGTCAAACATCATGATATAGTGCTGAAAATTTTACCATAGCCATCGCTCACCAGTCCTAACATATTCTGAAAGTTTCATGCAATTTGAATGTTCCTGAGCTGAGATCAATTTTCGAAAAAGAAGAGATGAAACTCTATGTGAATAAAAGCGTATTGTAATGAAATAAAACTTCCAATAAATGCCTATGATTTAAAAATGAAGATGAATTGTAGCGCTTTCTATCGGCATTAGTTTTTTTTTCTTTTCTTTAATTCCTATTCGTATAAAAAAGGAAGCCAACAGAATTTTAAAAGCAATAAATTTCGATCTGATGTCATTATTATTATTATTTATAAAAAACTAATTTTTGATGGTTCGAAAATATTTTATTATGAAATTGATATTTTCGATAATTCTCTTAGTTATTTTTTATAAATATTCTCATGTAGTTAAATTATCACAATCAAATGAATATTCAATAAAATTATCATATTTACAATTAGTTAAAGGTTATATCATTCTTATTTTTATAATTTTTATTTTCTTTTTTTTTCTGTATAAATAGAAAGACAATCATCAAATAAAAATAAACTTGTTCCATATAATTCTATAGTTGGTGTAGCTTCATCAAATGTAATTGCTTATTCAAATGGTAATGATACATATTATTCAAATGAAAATCATTATATATATGGAATATATATGGGATTAAAATGGCAATGTGTTGAATATGCACGTCGATGGACTTTTTTTCGTAAAAGTTCAATATTTGAAAGTGTTGTAGGTGCTAATGATATATGGAATCAAATAACATATATTGAAAGAATTATTGATAAAGAAAAATTTCCATTAAAAAAACATTTCAATGGTTCACCAAATCCACCAATAAATGAAACATATTTAATTTATCCAATACAAAAAGATATGCCTTATGGTCATATTTCTGTTATTGTTGATGTTTTAAAAAATTCTATTAGAATTGCTGAACAAAATTTTTATTTTACTTATTGGAAAGATAATTATGCTCGAGAAATTCCATTTGTATATAAAAATGGTCTTTATTATATTGAAGATGAATATGAAATTTATGGATGGTTAGAAATTGATGATTCAAAAGAACAATTAAAACCATTAAATAAATTAACAATTGAAAAAATTCAAATGAAATATGAAAATATGTGAAATTCAATTTCATATTTATTATTTTTTCGTTTCCTCATATCTTATATTATGTTTTTAAAATGTTTACTTTGATATATTATTATGAAGATAAAATCGATTCAATTAGATTAAAATATTTCATAGGAATAAATAAAAATTAGATAAATTATTTGTTGATTTGATTTATCTCAAATCATCTATTTACTAACGGGTTATGCAAAAATGTTGCTTCATTATTTCTTGGCTAAACATGTTTGGAAGAAATCGGAAATACCTATTTAAGAATCTGCGTCGAAAGTGGTTGTTAACTGTATAATCAAAAAAGTTGTACCATGTATCGACTTGGAGTAATAAACACTACTAAAATGTACACTGTAAAAGAAAAACCGTTCAAAACGATCAATTCCTCTGTATTTTGTGATATCCTTCGGCTCATTTTATCACAATGTTGTGCTCTTATATCTATTAGAATATATGTTCTATTTTCAAGAATCAATATAACGAATACGATTGAAATTTTTGAAACAACATTGCCGAATAAAAACAACTTCGAAGTTCTCATCATTTTCAGGTTGATGTCCATTTTGTATTGGTCAGTGCTCGCTTTTGCCATTTCTGTGTATTGGCAACATAAGAGCTAGGGTATACTTGTAGCTCGAGTATCCTGAATCAACATTGTATCTATTTTGAATAGCAATGGTGATACTTGGATCTCGAAAAAATCTTATCAGACCCTCATCAGTTTCACATTCGGTTTTAGTGTGTTGTTTTCAGTTTCCTTTTTTCGTGTTATCTAAAGCAATGTCGTACGGTTTTCTATCAAGTTCGTAGAGAATTAAACAGCAAATTTAACGAAATAAAGAGCAGAAAAATACAATGGAGTACATGCGAGAAAATCAAAAAATAATGAGAGAACAATTCCTTTCTCTCACAACTACATTGAGATGTTTTTCCGGCGTGTATTTTAGTAGTGTTTAAAGATGTGTTTTTTTACTCGAACCTAATACATGTTAAAACTTTTTTGATAATACAGTTAGAAAGTGTTTTCGATGCAAATTCCTAATAGATATTTTCGATTTCTCTTCAACTTATTTTAGCCAAGGAAAAATAAAGTGACATTTTTGCAAAAACTTTTGCATCACTCGTTAAATAGATATTTTGAAATTATTGAATAAATTGCAATTTTCATTTTTAATCAGATAATACAAGGTTCACTCAGAAGGATTTTTCGGGCAGTCCTCTTGAAAGACTTGACTAAGAGTTAAGTATACTGCTATAATGTCTAGACGCTTTTAGAATTAATTTCAGACTTCTAAGTCTTGTACTTTGTTGTAGTCTATTATTTCTTTTATAGTAGGTATATGCAATTTCTAATATAATTACATAACGCGTTGGATGGTCGTGTTTTGTATATCAGTTTTCAGTCCTTTAATAAGGTGTACTAAGAAAACAAAATACAGCATGAAAAGCTCTATAATTTATACAAAACCGCTTCTTTTTAAATAGTTACATATTTTACTTTCAGAATGGACAAAATTTTGAACGATCAAATTTCGAGACACTGTGAAAAGATAACGCGAACGAGAAATTTCTTTTTTCTTATTTCATCTATTTATCGCTTATCTAGATTGTAGAGTTTTTCACGCTACATCTTTCGATATATTTTGTTTTTATTTACGGAAACATATTATGAGAATAAAAAGATGAAAAAGGAAAAAACGAATTTACGTTGTACCAAAAAAAAACAGATCGTTGTTGCATGTTGCCAATGCACTGAAACGTTCTTGTATATTCTCGATTATTTCAAGACACAAATACATCCTGAGTTATTACTATTCATTTTAAAACTATCTACATCCATTCTCGGAATGAGTTTTTCCTCATTGCAATAGATATTATTTGAAAATGAGAAGAAGTAAAGTACCATAAAACAGGTCCACATCTTGCCTTACTTTAATTTTCTTTTCTTTCATTCTCTTCTGGACAGTTCTAGCAGGGAGTAGCATTTTTACAGAATGTACTTTTCTTGGTCTGTAATTTCAGGACGTCGGTTTTTAGATTTGAATCAAATTAAAGATACAATCTATTCTATTTCTGTAATACTAGAGAAAATATACTGAAACATAATGCTTATATATGTGGCAATTTCCATATTTTTTTTTGTTGCTAAAGTTATTACTTTAATGTGTGATAACGTTTTATCATTCGATAGAAATGGTCGTTAGGAAAAGAGATATGAGATTTGTTTGTCTAGTCTTGTTCTTAGAAATCGTATGTGTCTAACCTTTCATTTATAATTAATGATAGTTTTTCTTGGCATGTTTAGTATAATTAGTCGAAAGATGTCTTCAATCAATGCATATGTCATTTTAATGGTCTCACGGAGAATATAAAATTAAAATCACAAATAATGCTAATAGGGTTCGTATCACTGTACATATTCAAGGTGACTTTCAGGATTTATATAACTCGTGATGCTCCCGTGCAGATCTCGTGTCTGAACAATTCAGTCAGAATAGAGACAGAAAAATCAACGAGGAGACAATGATTTTGGCTATCATAATTTGATACAATGGACAAGAAATTAATGAATTTTTAATAAGTAGTATCTAATTTATTTGATGATACAGCGTAAATGATCTCTCATAAGTAAATCGATGAACGACAAATGAATTGTTTCATTAGATCTTGTTCTGCACTTTATTTATATTGCGATTTTCGTGTTTTCTTTTTCATGATCGAAAAAAAAATCTCAAGAGTTATGTGTGTGAAAATATTTGAGATAAGAAATATTTCAACTTTGATTCTATGCCCCGTATGCATGCAGCAGGATGAGAAAGGATATAGATGCGGGTGTATATGGAAGAAATGAAGACTCATACCCACAACATCAGGAACAACAGAAAAAAATGACTTGAAAAATAATATCTAATACATGAAATGTTATTGATATGTCAAAAATTCAATTAAGTCAAGAACATTTACATATATTATTAAAAGAATTGAAATATGTTTCAAAATTAAGAACAATCAATGTTTGTGAATGCTGAGAAATCATTGTATTCAACATCAACATTAATTAAAAATGCAACTATATTAGAAATATCAAAATTTATTCAAAAATAGAGAAAACCTAATAAATGTAATATGAACAAAGAAGAAATAAAATCAATTACAGATATTGTTATTGTTCAAGTTGATAAAGATAGAAAAATTAAATGACATAAAATTTTATGAACAAGTGAAAAAAAGATCTAACAACACTGATTAAAACAGAAATTAATAAAAAGGTTACAAAATTATTAAAGAATGTGGTTTATGAGTGTCACTCTTCAGTTTTCAGACACCCGTAGCCTCTTATTCGATTAATCTTATTGATTGTTTGAACAATATAGAGCCCTAGTATTGTATTAATTGCCGTGCATGTTTCAAAATAGTTTAGGAGATGATCTGAATCTGTCATCTGCAAGTATACAACATTGAGATGACATATATCATTAATAGATTATGTTCAGTTTCGATAAACTTTATCACCTTGCTGTGTTTCTTGATTAACATGTCAAAGACATTTACGCACCATATGACGTCTAAATTTTTTCCGTATCTGTTTACCTCCAAACTACGCAGTAGAAATGCATTTAACTGAGTACTAGTTTTATTTTACAAAATAATAAAGAATGAATAACATATCGACAACTACCATCAATCCAGATGTTGCAAGACTTAATGCTGCTCGAATAGGAGTACAATACATTGGTCAACCACTTCTATTTGCTATTGGTATGATTGGTTGTATATTGAATATTGCAATTTTTCTTCGACCTTCAATGCGACAAAATTCTTGTGCTATCTATTTTCATGCAAGTTCATGGGCCAATCTCTT